TCAAATAAAAAACCTAGCTCCAACCGATCGGTCAATGCCCCTTAAATTTTGGGGTACAATCAAAATTAGCCCTGACGTATATATTTATTTAAATTTTTAATGTGTTTAGATTCTTATAATATTAATATACTGTACTTAACGATGGTTTATACTGTATCCTAAAGTAATCACGATTTTGATGTTTTTGATGTATTATTGTCATTATTTTTAATATTAATGTATATATTTAAATTATATATATATATATATATATATTTGTATAAAAACAGGTACACGCAACAGTCGGTACATTAACTTCAGGTATTTACCAAATAGTATAAAAAAAAAAATTTCATCACAAAGTTCAGATCCAGTATAACAAGATAATTCGATTATTCTAATTATGATCACCAGTCGTTAATAGTAAAAATAGCTAGTGCTAGTGAATTTAGCTTATACTTTTCTTTGGTGAGTTCTTAGTCTGTTAGTTACACATTTATATAGTTAAAAAAATTGCAAAAATAGCTCTGATTCTAATATCTAATTATATATATACAGTTAGTTGTATCACATGATCTACTGAGATCGTGATCGTTTCCCGGCAATAGTACCAAAAAAAATCATGTCAGTCGATCAAAAGTCGATCAGAGGTTGATCCAAATATTAAATTGACGAATCCCGGCCTGAGTCTGGATAATAACTATTTATCGTTATGAGCAGAGTTCTTAAGAACCACATGAATAATACTTTTCAAGATTGTTCCAATAATGATGAGACTAGTTTAGGAACTAGTCCAACCTCACTAAACTCCTTGATTTCAGGTTTGATCTTTACTGACCTTTTAAGGACCAATGTGTTCATCATGAGTTGACTCCAAGGGCTGGGTCCGATTCTTATTTGACTCGGTCAAAAATTGAATTGACTAGTAAGTTCTCAAGAGGTTAGATATTTACATGTCGGAAATTTTAATAATTTGCTGCCGATAAAAAAAAATAGATGGCACTTAAAGTTGATTCGACATTGATTTCTCTCGAATTTATCTTGTAGTCGAAAAATAATTTAGATTTAGCTGAATAGATAAATACACGAATTTATAGATAAGTAAAATTATTCGGTTCATAAATCTTTTACAGTTTGTTAAATCTTTTTTTATTGAGTATTTTAACTACTTAAATACTAAGTAATATATTTCAATAGGTCAAATTCAACGTTATAATTAATTTGATATGTTTAACTTTTTTTTTTTTTTTAAAGCATCAAAACAGTATACGTACAATATATGTTTATCCCTTACTTAAGCATCCAATTATTTATTAATCAAGGCACTATTAATGCATATGAAAAATGCGTTAGATACCAATTACTATTTTTAAATTGTTTGCTTTTTAGGCCTTACGTATTTGATAATACTATCATCAAGGAACATTTACTGAAAATTTGATAATTAATTAATATTAACGCAGTTAGCTGCATTCCTTAAATTGTCATATCAAAAGAAACTTTTAAATTATTAAATATATTCTTTATTTATAAAAAAAAACAAAAAAAAGCTTCTAAATATATTGTAATAATAACAGTAATATATAAAATAATTCTAATAACATATATATCAACTTTCGTCTATAAAGAAATACAATCAAAACATACATAAAAAATATACATAAAATTTTAAATCTCTAAATTGTTCCAGGCTCTAGCCAATTCCTGTATCAAATTAACCAATCCATTAGTTACCAATCCTGTAGTTTTCCTGCCAACATCCGCGTATAGCCATCCAACAATAGGTAATGATTCTACCAAATCTTTAATACTCCAAATATCTTCATGTCTAACAATTTTATGTTGCTCATTGAATTCAAACTTAGAAATACATCTCAAGCTAATTTCATTATTACATATGTAAAATAAATTATTATTGCCACGTAAAAATAATTTTAATAAACATGGAATGGGTGGAAATCGTAAGGGAAGCCGGTACTTGATTATAGAGTCGATACAAACTATGTGATGATTACCAGCTACTATAGAATCGGTAATACTGTGAATCTCCGTTGTTATGGCAAAAAAGAATGTTGACACTAATAGGAAAAGATTGATTATTTCATTATGTGATTCCGCCGTAAGGATTGGATTCTCGAAAACTATCTCATAATAATATATGTTAAATATGTTAGATATTATTAATATTTGTCAAAATTTCAATCAACATTCTTATATATTTATGTATACCAGCATTAGCATCGAAATACGTTTCAACAACATGCCTTTGAGTCGCCGTTTTTCGTGAATATAATCCGGTATAAACCATTCTTGCGACATCCCTTTCATTAACTGTATAATTATTATTTAGATGAATGATATTATTAGAACCGTTGGCGTTCTCTAAAGGCGTGGTGTTAACTGTTTCTATATTCATGTCTGTCGTATTGGTTGTTTTCGAGAGTTACGTTAAATTGCTTTAAAAAAAAACGTTTGTCAAATAAAGTATCAATTTAATAAACGCGTTTTTAAAGTCCTTTTTTATAGTGTAAATTTTTGATCCAATAATGTATTGATGTATATAAATTTTTTTTTTTTTTTTTTTTTAAGGGTGGCATCTTGCCGTAAGTCTTTTATTAATGATTTAGTATAATTACAGATTATGTAACTATTATATACAACTAATAAGACCCCAGCTTAGGACTACTTTATCCACGATGCATCTCCCTACCCAATATATCTAACCCTATTCTTAATATACCAGGATTTCTATACTATATATTATGTTTTTATATAGTATATTCACCGTATCTATGTAAACTACCAGATTGAGGGATTTTTCCGCCGTCGTACCTAAGTACCTCCCAATTTTGTGTACACACCTATCCATACATAGGTTCCTACTCAGGTGAAATCATTAGACCGCTCCCCTATTCATCTAGCTGATTTTCATATCTTTTCAGCGGTGGATTTATCGGTTAAGTATACGTTACAGTATATCCATTTAATGTACTCCCCGAATTGGTATAGACCTAGACATGGGCGTGGTTCTAACCAGTAGAACTACTTCCAATCGAGTTTTGCGTAACAGTGTTACTTCCAACTTACGGCTGTATTGGGGTTGGTGTTTTAAAATTGGTGTGGGCCCGACTTATTGATGTATATAAATTTTTGATCCGAATAATTTCTAAAAGTTTATATTCAAGATTTTCCTTTTTTTTTTAAAAAAAAAAAAAAAACAATAATAAAAATTGATTGAAGCAAAGATAGATCAATCATGAAGACTTATATATATGTAAAACAATAGCAAAATTGAAAATTTTAACGAATTTTTATAACAATGTGTAATTTAATCTAATAAGTACTGCTTGTATAAATTGTTTTCGATTTATCATTAAGTCTTGAATTTATAAAACACAAGGAGAATGAAGAAAAAAAAAAAAAAAAGAATAAAAATTTGGACCCAAGATTCGTAAGCATTTGCGAAACCGAATTTGTAAATAAACTAAGTGCGTAAAGATAGAAGTTTAAGGCTAGGGCATTCACATTAGAGGCTAAAACAATAGATTGTTGCTCATTATATGTAAAATTTCGTTTCTGAAATTTTTAATTAGTGTACCAAGGTCGAGTTAAACACTAGTTTTTGAGTATTTTCGCTTTTTTCTTCTTTCTCACGTGTTCGGAATTTATGTCAAATTTTGTGACCATTTCCTTTCTAAGGGTTTGTATTACTCGTAAGTTTATACAATGGTTTTAAATATCAATCTGGAAAAAAACTCGTTTTTTTGACATAAAGAATAAACTATGCATTTTCCCCCCTTGTACAATAGAATCACGCGTAGATTTACAGAACCTGTTCCATATTTATGATCCTGTTATTTTGTAATGATATAAGTAATAAATATACATACGCAATTCAACCCTATAGTGGTGAATAGAAAGTTATCTACATAACCTGTTCTTAAAAATCTTGCTTGTAACCTTTTTAAAAGAATCTCTTGATCAAAACCGAGACAAGCCCGTTTTTGATTACTTAATCATTTTTCTTCTTAAATTGTCATTAGTCTAATAATGCAAATAAGGTACGGTTGTATAGTGATTGATTTGTAACAGTTAAAATAACAATAATACAGTCAATTATGGGTATAATAAAGGCCCTTCCTTACACCAGATTCATGGATTCAACGGACCAAAGCAAAATACAGTACCAAAATATTACTTTTTAATTAACGGTCACAGGAAATGTCATACGTACGCACTGTCAATCATTATAGTGTCAATTGACATGAAACACTTAATTTTTATAAAAAAATTCGGAGAAAAAAAATCTATATAATTTTTATTAAAAATAAACCAAACCTATAATCTACTTTAGATTTTAAATAATTATTCTTCAGCTTTAAATATTTATTCATACAAAGTTTAGATAGCGGTTAAAAATGAAATTTAAAAGAATCTATCTATTCTATATTATTAAAATTGTTGGGATCACATGGTGTAGACGTTTAGATTACCCCGTATAAATAATTTTTTTAAATTGTGTCTCATTTGTCACATATACCGTAAATTGCCGCATAAACCACCCCGGGTCTGTTACTTTAAACCTGCGTGAAAATTGATTCAGACCCGGGGGGGAGTCGGCTGTACGGAGGGTCTACTATTAGGGGGGTCTGTTGTGCGGTAAAAAGAATTATTGACCAATTAAAATCAAGCAATCCTATGACGGATATATAATACGTGACCATATAATAGACCCGGTGTTATACTTTTTACCTTTCATTGAACCCAAGTAACAAACCCGGGTCTGCTAGAAGAGGGTCTTCTATAAGTATACAATATTGGGCAGACGATAAAAAAATAACAGGAAATTTTTTTCAGCGGATTTAATGTCATCCCATGTG